AATGTTATTATAATTGTGTACAAAGAGAGACTTCATTGAATTCCTTACTGAAATCTTTTCCTCTTACACCAAATGAGATACAGATTGCCTTAAGAATGTTACCTCAACCTATAAGGGAAAAGGTCCCATATCCTTTCTTTACTCTTCTTCCTCTCTACTCAAGACAAACCATACTCCCATTTTCCTCTTGAGTCATTTATACAAAGATGTTGTGATTAAGCTCACTTCTTCTCTCCATTTCCCCTTATCTCCCAATTTCTTTTTTCCCAAGGAGAAGCCTGGTGAAGATAATGTTTAATTTAAAAGGGAGAAATTACCAGTGCTGAAAATGCAAGTATCAATGGGAGAAACATTTCTGAGTGCTGTCTTTACAGGCACTCTCATGCTATAACACAGAGTCAATCACCTTTCCTATCTATTAATAAAGCCAAGCTTTACATGCTGTACTAAAAATACAGAAACTAAGTGGCTGCTACCAAGCCTACCATTTCTGCTCTTAAAGGTGAGGTGTCCTATCCAGAGAATGGAGTTTGAGGGGAGGAAGAGGGAGAAGAGGAGAAAGAGTTAACCTTCTTAAAGAGTCATTTTTGTCAATACTTTGTCATCACCAACTACTGCTGTAGTTCAGTAATGATTAGAAGTGAAAATTCACTTGTCAGATAAATCTTACCTTGCTCTAGTCACTTCAATAGCAGAAATTTCACAATTATTAATTCTGTTTATCTTTCCCATAGAAATGTACAATTTAGAGTTAACTATCACTTAAAAAAAAGATTGCTGTTCAAAATTGAGTTTGCATTCCAGCTTTGCTACTTACTAGTTGTGTGATATTGAGCAGACTGCTCCATTATTTCCCTTCTCTAAGCCTCAGTTTCCTCATCTATAAAACTGGAATAATCTTTACTTTACTATATAATTTCAAAAAGTTTTCTGAGTATCAAAATGGTACAGTGATTGTAAAGGCTTTGTAAACTTTAAAGTAATATGTGAACATCAACTATTACCTTCAGTTAAATTCAACAAATATTTATGAAACAATTAAACAAATAGCAAACATTTATTAAGTGCCTACTGGTTGCTGTACTTTGTTCCTGAAGAGCACCAAAATGGCATCATTATGTTAGAATCAATTTACAATATGTCCAAATGTGGCTGATCAAACTAATAAGAGCTTGGAATGTTCTACCACAGGTCAGGCACAAATAGTCCATATAAACATTTGTGGTGGATTCTCTAAATCCATGCATCTCACTCTTCTTTTGAGCTAATTCAATTCTGCTTTGTTCATAGAGCACAGCACCTTCTCTGATGAGGGAATGCCATACTGGGCTGTCCTGTGCCATTGTCTTCCATGTCATGCAACCAATTCCAAAGTTCTTAAGAGAGACCTTGACAGTGTCTTTGTATCTTTTTTTTTTCTGACCACCACAATAGCGATTGCTCTCTGTGAGTTCTCCCTAACACAGTCTTTTAGGTAAGCTATGTTTGGCATTTGAACAACATGGCCAGCCCATCGGAGTTGTGCTCTATGAAGTAGAGTTTGCATGCTTGGCAGTTTAGTTTGAGAAAGGACCTGAGTGTCTAGTAACTTATCCTGCCAGGTGATATTCAGAATCTAGGGAAATTAAGACCCCCAAAATCCTTCTCTCAAAGTGTTTACATTATTTTTTTTTTAGGGGGAGAAGAAAACATGTATATTAGCAAATACAGAATAAGTATAAAATGAATACAAGGCAGTCAGGGAGGAGAGCATTAGCAGCTGGGAGATTAAGAAGAATACCAGGTAGAGAAGTGGTTTGTGAGCCATGTTGAGGGAAGTGAGAGATTCTCTTAGCTGGAGTTCAGAAAAGTGGGTATTCCAGACATGGGTGACATATGTAGTACATAGACACAGTAATGGGAAATGGAAAGCCATGTATAAGGAACAGAGATAAGATCAGTTTGGCTGCACCATAGAGTATAGGAAGGGGAGTAACATATAATGAGGTTGAAAAATCAAGGTTGGATTCAAGTTGTAAAGTTGTAATGGTCTTTAAAATCCAACAAGTTGTCTACATTTTGTCCTGGCAGTCATGGAGAGCCACTGGAATTTACTGAGTAGGGGAATGACATGCTTAGATCTGCACTTAAAGAATTGTTGGGAGGCTATTGCAATAGTCTAGTTAAGAGGTGATTAGAGCCTGAACTAAAGTGATAGCTATAGAGAGAAAGGGCCAGATGCAAGTAACTTTGTAGAGGTAGAAATGGCAAGATTTGGCAACTGATTTGGATATGTGAGGTGAGGTGAGGGATGATGTTCAACAAGTCCTTAGAAGAAAATGAGTATATTTTGAGAACCATGTGTTTTTCTATTTCACCTTTGTTACATCTCTCAAATATATCCCCTTCTTTCCTCTGACACTGCCACCACTCTGATACAGGCTCTCATCACCTCAGGCCTGGAGTATTTCGTTTGTTTGTTTTTTGGTTGGGCAATGGGGGTTAAATGACTTGCCCAGGGTCACACAGCTAGTAAGTGTTATGTGTCTGAGGCCAAATTTGAACTCAGGTCCTCCTGACTCCAGGGCCAGTGCTCTATTCACTGTACCACCTAGCTGCCCCAAGCATGGGGTATTTCAATAGTCTATTGGTGGGTCTGCCTATCTCAAATCTATTCCCACTCCAATACATCATCCATTCAGGCACTAAGGTGATTTTCCTAAAGTTCATATCAGACCACTTCATTCCTCCTGATACACTCCTCCTCCCCCCATAAACTCCAGTAACTCTTTTTTTTGTTCTAGGATCAAGTATTAAATGCTCTGTTTGACATTCAAAGCCCTTCATAACTTAGTCCCCTCCTACCTTTCCAGTCTTCTTACACCTGCCTTGACAAACACCCACAGTGACCCTTGACCTCCTGGCTCTTCCCCAAACAAGGCATTCCATCTTTTGGCACTGGGCATTTTCACTGGCTGGCTCTCATAGCTGGAATGATCTCCCTTCTCAGATCCACCTACTGACCTACCTGGCTTCCTTTAAGTTTCAGATAAAATCCTGTCTTTTACTGGAAGCTTTCCTCTAATTCTAATGCCTTCTGTCATATTCTATTTATCCTGTGCCTGGTTTGCTTTACATACATTTATTTATACATCATCTCTTTCATTAGATTGTAAGCTTCTTGAGGTCAGGGACTGGTCTTTTTTTTTTTTTTGCCTGTTTTTGTATTTCTGTCACAGAAGCAATGGCAGGACCAGGCTAGGAAACCAGATTCCCTGACTCCAAATCTAGTAAGCTGAGAGAAGTGAATGACCAGAGCAGCTCAGACCCTTAGAACTACAGTCTCCGAGGGAAGATAAAGGAGGCCAGGTACTCTTTGCATTAACAGGGACAGCCTTATCTTCCTACTGCCTCTGTCACCAAGTCCCACTATAACTGAAAGTGACATAGCCCTCCCTATCTCATTAGCTCTAGATAGTTCTTCAGATTTGAGTCCCCTCCATCCTTCAGTCCTGAGGGAATTGGGATGAAGAAGCTCTAGAGAAGCCAGATGGCTCCAAATGCCCTGGGGGCAGATACAGACCTGGGGACCTGGATCAAAGTCCAGCTGGAAATGACCACCCCTTCATTCCCAAGTAGCTGTCAATTCTGCCCTCAGGAAATCACTACATATATAAAATCTTAGGCTGAAATTATGGCAGTTCAGGGATTCCCTGCTAAGCTTCTGAAGGCTTAGCATGTATAGCAAAAAGATCATTTAACCAAGAACCAAGATGTAACCCTCAAAGCACCATTAACTAGCCATGCAACCTTGATCAATGGGCTTTATATCTGAATCAATCTTCTCATCTGTAAATTTGGATAATAACAGGAGCTTTATCTACCTCACAGGGTTGTTGGAGAGGGTGCTGAGATAACATCCCAGGATAAATCCAAAGGTTTATAGAAAGATAACACTTGAAATTTGGTGTATTTTGGGCCTCCACAATGAGCAGAGTTCCAGTCCCCAGTAAGAACCTGAGTAGAGAGATGGAAGAGATCCAAAGGATTCTGGTGTGTAGATTCATAAGGATCAAACATCTGAGTCCTCTGGCAAAATTGTATTCTAGGCTTGTTCTGTCTCCCCCCTTTCCCAAAATTTTTGGATCACTTTTTCTTTCTCATTTGCCCTTCCCCATAATAGTTAATGGACAATGTTATTCTCTGTGGTCTGACTGAAGAAACAATAATAGCATGCTGTAACAAAATTTTAATCTTTGTTGTGTCATGGATGTCTTTGGCAGCCTGTGCTTATGGACCCTTCCTCAGAGGGAAAAAAAGATTTAAATAATTGAAATGTAAATTTCCAGTTAGAGGTTAGTGAAAATAAGGTTGTAATTTGTCCCCAGTCTAAGTTCACGTACCTACAAATCAGCAGTGGGCCCCTGCTCTAGAGGTTTAGCAAAGCTCTTTCCTCTAACATCTTTAGTGAGGCAGGTGGCAGAAGAACTATCACTCCCATCTGACAGATGAAGAAACTGAGATTATGAAAGGTTAAGTGATTTTTCCATAGTCACGTGCAATAGTAAGTACTTTAAGAAAGGGTTGAAGAAAGATATGTTTGGGTCTCTTACAAATCCAGCACTCTACACACTAAATCACAGTCTCTCTTTCCTTTGTCCCTTGCCTGTAGCCTCCTGCCCTGCTGTACCCCCACATCATTTCCATCTAAGACCGCTTTCCTTTGCACTTCAGTGCCTGTTTCCCAAGGAGGGGTTTCCCCTATCTTGTCTCTAATGTATGAGATTAGTGTCTGGTTGTCTTGGGCCTCAAGTTCCAGCGACCCCAGCCAAGTATCCAATCTCCGCTCCCCCCACCCCAGCTCATTGTGCATTTCACTTTTCCAGATGTCAAGGCGAGGGCCAGTGTCCTGTAGCCACTGGGGCGAGACACTGGCACCCTGAAATGCGGAGGCACCAGTGGCTACCACTTTTCTTGGCGTGTGATCTGAGATGTGGGACTCCCTGGGTCCGGTGAAGTCCATTCCGTGTCCCCATCTCTCCGCAGCGCTGTCAGTCCCCATTAGCTCTAACAGGCTCCAGACCGAGCCAGGACTGGGAACTTTCTAATGCAATCGATGCGTTACCTGAGGGCGCAGGCTACATTACCAGCCCGCCCTCCGCCCTTCGCGGCCAGAGCTAACCAGGCAGAGCCCGCGACTCCACCTGACTCTTGCTGACCTCGAGGGGAGCTGGATACGGGGGGCTGGGAACACAGGAGAAGGGAGCACAAGCCGGACAAGTCATCGTTCCAGGAGTAAGCAGCTTTGAATTTCAGATTCTCGGACACTAGACCAGATACTGAACACCAGACACTGGAGACTTAGGGCAGTGAAGGTGGTTCAGACTTGCACTGTTTGCACGATGTGTGTGAGCAGGCTAGGCATGTGAGAGACAGATTGTGACAAACACAGAGATAAAGAGACAGAGACAGTGAGACATAGACGCAAAGTGAGACAGACAGAGAGACAATGAGTTTGGGCGGATTCAGGGGGCATATGATGGTGAGAATGTAAGGAGGAAGGTTGACAGAGAATCAGGGTCTTGGGGGCCTTGAAATTGAGGGGTAGAGTAGGTGCATGTGACGCAGCTTGTAGCGGAGGGTGCGAGAGGCTGTGCGTGCCCAGGCAGTGGCGGCGCGGATAAGAGGGAGCTGTGTGGTCCTCTGGCTTGGTCGGGTCGCGGGGACAGGGCTGGAGCAGGAGGGAGTCTGTGGGTGTCTTGGTGAATGGGCTGAAGACTGGGTATCTCTGAATGTTCCATTTACGAACCTCACTTAGTCATGGCTGGGTCCCGAGGTGTGTCTCTGTCCCTGTAACCCTCAACACAGGCTTCCCAGAGACTACCAGGAACACCCTACAAGCCCTCCTACCGAAGAGGTTTAGCAAGTCTTCTCCCTGAGTCTCTTCCCCTGCTGGAGAGGGACAGGGAAGTTGTTCGGACACGGACCTTAGGTTACTCTCTCCAGCTTTTTACCTGTAGGGTTCAGTTTAACCCGGAGTTGGCAGAGATATTTGTTTCCAAACTTCCTCAATAGAAGTGGTCCCCTATCCCTTTTCCTGGTTTCCCTCACCTCTCGCCTTCAGTACCCCGTCTCCGGGACCCGGTTCTGTCCTAGGGACGGTCCCCGTACAAGGCGGAACGGCTCCGGTGACCGCCCGTCTCTCCTCCCTCCCTTCCTTCCCTTTTGTCTAAGCAGAGCCACCGCCCGCCCCGGCTCCGGCTGGAACTCGAACCCTGCTCGTCCAGTTTGATCCCGCTCGCGTCCATGCTCCCTGCCCGGATGAATCCGCAGGTGCAGCCAGAGTGCGGTGGAGCTGGCCAGGGCCCTGGGCAGCCTCCGCCACCTCTGCAACCCACTCGGAAAGCTGTGGAGCTGGTGTTGGTGAAGGAGCAGAACGGGGTTCAGTGCGTCCTTGCGCCCCGAGGCGGGGACTCTCAGCCCCGGGAGACTTGGGGCAAGAAGATCGACTTCCTCCTATCTGTCATCGGTTTTGCTGTAGATCTGGCCAACGTTTGGCGCTTTCCCTACCTCTGCTACAAGAATGGTGGCGGTGAGAGGCCCGGCTCATGTTGGGGGCTTTTGCTGTGGGAGCACGAACGGGTGGAAGTTGAGGGGATATGGGACACTAGATGCATGGGTAATTGCTGCCACATGGGCGCACTGGGAGTCGGTGAGAGCCCTGGGGAACGGAACTCAGCATGGTGCTATGGATAGATAGACTGGGACAGGCGCGCACGGAAAGAAAGATTGGAACCAGGGTTATGGAAAGTCCGAGTAGGACGCAAGGGCATTGAAAACAGAGTCCATAAAGGAAAAGAAACAAAGCAAAACAAACAAACAAACAAACAAACAAACAAACAAAAAAGCAAGGAGCTCAGCCAGGCAGGACAAAGAACCCTACCTGGCACCTGTCAGAGCTAGTGGAAACCAGGGAAGTGCGGAGTGCTGAGTGAGAACTCATTAGGCTACCTCAAAGTGCATCTCTAGGAACCTGAGCGCTTTTTTTTTTCCCGTACCTGGGTTCTGATCCGTAGCATTAAAGGTTATGCTACCACCCTCCCCGTGGTTCGGAACTATGAATTCTAGGTTTGTGAGCGGGCCGTAACCTGCAGCCAGCAAACTGTGAAGGGAGGGAAGCGAGGATAGCGAAGTCTCTGGGAGGAGGAGGTTAGAGAAAATTGCACTTCCACTAGAGATCTATCTTGGGAGAAGGATGTGCAATAAACTTGCTCCTAAACTCAGCCAATCCCGAGGTCCTGGCAGTAAAAACGGTGAGGTCTGAGGTACAGTACAGGTTACGGCTGTGGCCTTGAGAGTCGAACGTCCTGGAGTACAGGGAAACTTTCTTCACTCAAGTTCCTTCTCTCCACACTAAGAAAAGCTGTGAAGGGCAAAGGGAAAAGTCACATAAAGGCAAGTGTCGGAAACAGAGCACTTAGGGACAGGGGGTGGCAGCCGGCGGTGGAATTCAGATCTAGCTTCTTTTGGGATAAGATGGAAGGGAAATCTAACTCTTGATTCCAAGAGTCTTATTGGTGAACTGCAGTCTGAGGCTAGGAATGTCTGGCTGTGATGTCTACTGAACCACAGTTGAGGTGAATTCAGACTTCTGCTTAGGAGTATGGGACTTTGGGAAACAAACAAAATTCTTTGGAGAGTAGAGGGGTAGACCGACAGGGGCAGGAGGGGTGCAGAAAGAATCTTGGTTTTGATCTGTTTCTGAGAGACCCCACTCTCCCATTACCCTTTGAACAGTGTAGGAGGGTGTAGTGGAAAACACACTGGATTTCGGGTCAGAAGATCTGGGTTCTGCTCCAAACTCTACCCCTTCTTATCCATATGGACTTCTGGGACTCAGTTTCCTCATTTGCAAAATGAATCATGTGATGATAAAATCTGAAAATGAAAGTCAACAAACTGCAAATTACATCAATTCTTCCTATACCAGCAAAGAGATATGTGAAGTCAGTATTTGGTGCAAATATGAATGGAATGGTACTGTCCTCAGATCCAGACTTTTTTCCCACTATCTTTCCTGTCCCCATGACTTCACTCAACAACCACAGCTGAGAGGTCACATGGATACTTAAGGTTCCTTTCAGCTCAAAATGCCATGACTTGGGAATGCTGTCATCATGGCTGTAAGGGCTAATGTCATTTTTGGGGACTGGTTCAGGACAGCTGTGGACATAGAGTGGGAAGGAAGATTTGGGTATAATGGTTATTGTCAAGGGTTTTGTTTTGCCTCCTTACACTCAATGTCCACGCAGTATAGTGTTGGCTCCTGTAATGGACTTCTGCTTTTACTAGAAGGCAACAAATAGATGTTATTATTTAAGGGATCTGGTCTCAATGGCTCACTGAGTGGGAATTCTGGGGAACTCAACTGCTGAGTTAGGGAGATGCAAGCAAAGTTAGACAGATAATAGTTTCATAGGGTAGTGTAGTGGAAAGAATACTATCTCTGAAGTCAGAAGACTTGGGTTCCTAGCCAGCTCTTTTTTTTATTCCCCAAGTGGAGTCTGGAGAAGTCACTTCTGTCCAGGTCTTGGTTTCCTTCTCAGGAAAATGAGGGATGGGGTGGACTTAATGCTCTCAAAGGCTCCCTATATCCCTGACTCCTCTACTCTCATGTAGATATGAGATGATCTCTGTCTACTTTGCCTCACAGAAATGTTAGACTCCAGGTTTCTTATAGGTATTCTTTTGAAATGGTGGCACTGAGTGGGCAGAGCAGTGATCTTCAGTGACAACCAACCTAGCCCCCTGGTGCTTTTCTTGGGCTTCCAAGCCTCAAGTGCCTCCTGAAGCATTTCTGTGGGCCAGAAAGCTCAGGAGACTGAGACAGAGGTGAGCAGCTGCACAGGATGCTGGTGGCTGAAATTACTATTTACGGTAAGCTGCAGCATCTGATCCAGGTAGATACATGAACGGAGAGAGAAAATATTCTCTTTAGCTGACATGATTTCTCATAACATAGGGCCCAATGATACCATCATGAGGGAGTCAGTTCATTCAGATCTCCAGGATAAGGACTTTCTATTCTGTGTATACAATTATTTTAATGGCTACACAGAGGTACTGCAATGTGATTATTTCAAACTCTCAAGTGCTACCTATCAAAGAACAAGTATTTATTATCTCCTTTGTGGCAGGTACTGTGCTCGGCTCTGGGGATAAAAAGACAAAAAAACAAATTCCTGATCTTAAAGATACACACACACACACACACACACACACACACACACACACACACACACACTTTTTTTTATCTATGTGATTTGGTGTTCATGTCCTAATGACAAAGGACTTTCTTCTAGAATATAAGCTCCTGTAGGGCAAGCCCTGTCTCATTTTTGTATTTTTATCCTCAGTGCCTATAACATGAATGCACTGGTAGGCTTTTTTTTTTTTTTAGCTGGGCTTGTGATTACATTAGTGGAGGGAGCTCCTTGTGAAGACCTGCTCCTGCCAATAGAGATGGACACCTTCTGTACTGTTAATGCCTGGGAGTTTTCTGGGAGCACTGAAGCTAAGTTCATTGCCAAGGGTAACACAGCTAGGTTGTGTCAGAGGTGAGACTTAAACTCTATCTCTGAAACCAACAAGGTTGTCTCATCTCTGGCACATACTAGATAATTAAAAGCTTGTTGATTTGATTCATCTTTAAACAATAAGCAATGGATTCTTAAAGACTGAAGAGGAATGAAGATTCTTGAAGGGGAGTCCAAGACTATTACAGAAAGTCAGAGCTGGAAGGGAACCCAAGAGATCATTTAGCCAATAGCTATCATTACAGAGGACAATGAATTGCCCAAAGTCATACAGCTCAGTATGTGTTAGAACTGGGACTCAAACCCAGGTATTCAGAATTCTTTCCACTTCATCACTAGTTAAACTAGTCTTCTACAGTATACATCTTAAGTCTGTAAGGACTCATCTCTCCATTTCCATACAAAATAGCTGGTTCACATGATGAATACCCTTGGCAGATCCCACAATCTATACTTTCTTGATTTCATAGGATCCTAGATCTAGAACAGTAAGGGAACTTAGAAGTCATTTAATGTGATTCCCTCATTTTATAGCTGAGGAAACTGAGGCCCAGAGAATGGAAGAGACTTGCCCAATTACAACTTTTATGAAGCACAGAGATGGAAATTGAACCCAGATCTTTTCACTATAAAACCAATGCTCTATCCAGTGCACTATAATTTCAGATACATTAAGCAAGATTTTCTAATGTTCTTACTCATATCAACACCTTTGGTCATTACAGATCACATCTTGACAAACACTTTATTAATTTGGCAGGTGTGAGACCCTTATCTTCTATTAGTTAAAAGGTCTTCATTGCTCTGTTTTTGAAAAATATTTAATTTTTCTTTTTCTTTTTCCTTTTTTTTTTTTTGGTCTTGGCAGTGGGGTTAAGTGACTTGCCCAGGGTCACACAGCTAGTAAGTGTTATGTGTCTGAGGCCGGATTTGAACTCAGATCCTCCTGAATCCAGGGCCAGTGCTCTATGCACCGTGCCACTTAGCTGCCCCAATTTTTCATTTTTGATACCTGTGACACTGCTGGCATTTGGTCACCTATATTTACTCCTTGACACTGTGGCCTATGAGCTTTTCAATAGGATTTGAGTGAGACTTCAACTTCAACTTGAACTTCATCAGCTCAGTCCTCAGCAGACATTTATTATTGCCTGCTATGTACAGGGCACATGGCTTAGTGCAGAGAATAATCAAGGAGACAGAGAGGAATAGAGAACTCTGGTGTGGTATGCTGGAAAGCTCTGGCTTTGGAGTCAAAGAGATTGGGTACAAATCCTGACTTTTCCACTTAACCTTTTTTGGGGGTGGGGGAGTGGAGAGACAGCACTTGACCTCTCTGGACTTTAGTTTCTTCATCTCTAAAATGTGGGGATTGGACTTAATATCTTTGAAGGTCACTTTCAGGTCTGAACCTAGGATCTTACGAGACAAAGTGCAAAGTACATTATGCACCAAAGGCATACTGTACTTGAGGGACAGTGAAGTAGACAAATTTGGCTGGAAGGGAAGATTTGGAGAGGAGAAATAGTAGCTGAAAGGCATAGAGAGATAGATGGAACTAGGAATATTTCTGTAGTTATGAAGGGGCTGGTGCACAGAGGACCCTCTAGGTAGAAGGACAGGTAACCTATCCCTTCCTTCTTCTCCCCTGACCTTTCTCAATTCATGATCCCATTCCCTTGCCCTCTCCCAGACCAGTTCTTCCCCTGCCTCTCCATGACTCCTTTGAGGCATGCATAGTATAGGGACAACAATCTCTAGACCACTGTGAGAATATGCTTGGGGTTAAGGCTTTGCCCTCTGCCTTAGTTATGACTCAGGTTGTCTTGAATAACATGCTAATGATTCAAAAGTTTATTCAAACGAATTCCATATCAGACCTTTCTAAAAGGTCTGGAGACAAGATAGTACAATGAGAAAAAACCCAAAAAACTCTGGACTGAAAGTCTGAGGATGTGGGTTCTAGTCCCACTCTCTCACTGTATTTGGTTAATCT